GGGGGGGGGGGGGGGGGGCTTAGAGTAATATTAAAGAAATAAAATAAACAGAGAAATACGAAAAAGAAAACTAAAAAGAAAAATACAAACAAATAAACAGAGCTGCTGCGGCAGCCGCTGCTGCTGTTGCTGCTGCTGCTGCTGCTGCTGCTGTTGCTGTTGCTCGTATGATAGAATAGAGAGAGCAGCAGCAGCATAAATTTATTTTATTTTTTAGTTTTTATAATTTATTTAAATTTATTTTTATTTTTCTGAATTTATTTCAATTAAAATAAACCCATTGTGACAGCTGTATACACAAAGTGCGCCCAAGGGCTGGGGCTGCAAACCCTAAACCCTAAACCCTAAACCCTAAACCCTAAACCCTAGGAACTTGTCAGGCATCAAAGACAGCTAGAGACACTCCTGATGTATACAGAGCAGCAGATACTTCCGTTGCCTCTCTGCAACAGTTTTGTTGCTGCTGCTGCTGTGGTTACTGCAGCAGCAGCAGCAGCTGCTGCTGCTGCTGTTGTTGTTACTGCTGCTGTTGCTGCTGCTACTGCTGCTGAAGCTGCTACTGCTGCTGCCGCTGCTGTTACTGCTGCTGCTGCTGTTACTGCTGCTGCTATTACTGCTGCTGCTACTGCTGCTGCTGCTGCTGCTGCTGCTGTTGCTGCTGCTGCTGCTGCTTTCGCAGCAGAGACAGGAGAGATCCCCCCCCATACACCGCAATAAGGATGCTCTTCTGTGTATACGTTTATATCTATCTAGCGAGGAAATATAATATAAAAAATACATAAAAATAAATATAAAAAATAAATAAAAATATATAAAAAATAAAAAAAAATATAATATGAAAAATAAAAAAAATAATATAAAAACTAAGTAAAAAAATATATAAAAAATAAATAAAAATATAATATAAAAAATAAATAAAAATATAAAAAAAGTATAAATGTAATATAAAAAATAAATAAAAATAAACATAAAAAATAAATATTTATTTGCTGCTAGCATCGTTCTTACTGTTTATACTTCGTTGTTTATTCTATAATATAAACATAAATATATATT